CCAATAAGCATTAGAAAGAAATGTTGTAACAATTGGTCACTCATAAATTTTCTTGGCAATACACATATTTGTATAATTCCCAATGAAGTCCCAAAGCCTAGGTCATGCCTAGGTCATGCCTGGCACATAGTAGGCATTCAATGTTTTCTCAAGGATAGTCTTCCCCTGGACAGGCTCACGGAAACTATTAAGAGGATTTGCTGGGGGAAGTCATTCAGCAACATCTAAGTGCCCACATCTGAGTGTAAAACTCTCATTAGGTGCAGTGAAGGAATGTAAAAGCAGAAGCTCCCTCCATGTGCTCTTGTTAGAGAAAACGTGTTCTCACATGTAAATCACTTAAAGTTTATAAAAATATGCACATAAAATAGAATATAAAGAATAAGAAGTAATCAGGTTGTTGGCACTGAGAGGAATTAGAATTCATTATACTTTGGGGGAATGAAATCTTCATAATTCTCTCCCAACTTATTTGAATAAAATGTAGAGTTAGTCTGAGCACTCTAGTATTTTGAGGAGCAGTATAAATTTTAAAAGGTTTCTGAAGTCTTAAGATCACTGGATCTTAACTCAGGGGCACCTGGGTGGCTCAGTGGGTTAAAGCCTCTGCCTTCAGCTCAGGTCATGATCCCAGGGTCCTGGGATAGAGCCCCACATCGGGCTCTCTGCTCTGCGGGGATCCTGCTTCCCCCTCTCTCTCTGCCTGCCTCTCTGCCTACTTCTGATATTTGTCTGTCCAATAAATAAGTAAAATCTTAAAAAAAAGGAAAAAAAAAAGATCACTGGATAGGGTAAACTTTATGGGATAAGAACTGATTTCAGGTCATGCCCCACTCCACAGTGGAAGTAACTTCTTGTCCTAGGGAACCAGGCCATCCCAGCAGCTGCAGCCTCTGTATTCACCAATCCAGGTTTCACAGCTGACCCACTAATTGGAGGAAATCAGTTGAATACTCCTTATCTCATTTAATTATTTTTAATGATTACTGTTTCCACCCCCCACACCAACACACATATTCCTCTTGTTCTTCCCTCCTCCCCACCAATCATTTTTGGTTAACTTTAACGTCCTGTTGAAGATTTGTTAGTTTCTAAATATTCTACCATGTGCACTGAAGTCTGGCCATTGCTGTGATAATAACCTCAAACTCAAAAACACCATCAGTATATATTCCTCTTCCTGAAATACTTTTGAGCTATTCTTCTTTAGAAACTTGGGTACATCTTTACTTTCATAGGTCTTTAAAAAAAGGGGAGTTAAACTGGATTTGAGGTTTTTAAACTTATCTTGACCCATAGCAAGAAATATAATTTTACTTCATGATAAGATTCACACAACAATACATACATGGAACTGAATAGTTTTACAAAACCATATTTACTCTTACTAGGACTGATATATGAATTTTGCTTAATTTTTTTGCCTTTTTTTATTGAGATAAAACTCACATAACATAAAATCTACCATTTTAACCATTTTTAAAGCATACAATTCAGTTGCTTTTAGTAATTCACTATGTTGTGTAGCCATTACCACTACTTAATGTTGGAACATTTCCATCATCTCTAAAAGAAACCTTGTACCCATCAAACAGTCACTTCCCATATTTTTTCTATTCTATTTCATTTCATTTCATTTCAAAAGAATTCTGAATAAGACTCACTAAACTGTTCCAATCCATGAGTACGGAATGTTTTTCCATCTCTTTGTCTCTTCCTCAATTCCTTTCATAAGTGTTCTTTAATTTCTAGAGCATAGATCCTTTACTTCTTTGGCTAGGTTTATTCCTATGTATCTTATGGTTTTTGGAGCTATTGTAAATGGAACTGATTCCTTAATTTCTCTTTCTTTAGTTACATTGTTCGTGTATAGAAATGCAACTGATTTCTGTGCATTGATTTCATATCCTGCCAAGTTGCTGAATTGCTGTATGAGTTCTACTAACTTGGGGGTGGAATCTTTTGGGTTTTCCACATGAAGTATCATGTCATCTCTGAAGAGAGAGAGTTTGACTTCTTCTTTGCCAGTTTGAATGCCTTTTATTTCTCTTTGTTTTCTGACTGCTGAGGCTAGGACTTCTAGCACTATGTTGAACAATAATGGTGAGAGTGGGCATCCTTGTTGTGTTCCTGACCTTAAGGGAAAAGCTCTCCGTTTTTCCCCATTGAAAATAATATTTGCTGTGGGCTTTTCATAGATGGCTTTTATGATATTGAGGTATGTTCCCTTGATCCCTATAGTTTGGAGAGTTTTAATCAGGAAAAGATGCTGTATTTTGTCAAATGCTTTTTTTTTTTTTTTTAAAGATTTTTTATTTATTGATTTGACAGAGAGAGATCACAAGTAGACAGAGAGGCAGGCAGAGAGAGAGAGAGAGAGAGAGGGAAGCAGGCTCTCTGCTGAGCAGAGAGCCCGATGCGGGACTCGATCCCAGGACCCTGAGATCATGACCTGAGCCGAAGGCAGCGGCTTAACCCACTGAGCCACCCAGGCGCCCCGCTTTTTTTTTTTTTTTAAAGACTCAATAAACTGGCCTAAGGAATCACTAACTAATGAGTCACAAGTCAGTCTCAAATAATTGCTAGATAAATTACTAAGAGACTGTGTTTCTCTAATTCTATGATCCTATGATCCTATTCCATTCTAGACATTATTTCCCTCCAAGTGAAATATTTTATCTTGGAGGATTCCCACTGAAATTTTCCAAGAGATGCAACTTGTTATTTGGACTCATTTATTCATTCACTCAACAGACACTTATTAATGGCTTAAATGGAAGAGAAATAAAAAAAAATAGCTTCCACCTTTATAGAGTTTATAATCGCATAATGGAAAGATACTGGCATGAAAATAATTACCAATATGAAGGGGAAGTGATCGGTTCTACCTTTCAGTGTGATGAGAAGGAATTAAGAAGAATTTCAAAGAAGGTATGACCATAGTTGACCTTAGGAAAAACATATAGGTATTTTTTCACTGACTTTTAGACTTCTGCTCTAGAAGTCTTCTTCTCAGGGTTACACTGCCACTTCCTACAATAGACTGTGCAAATCCCAGAAAGATATTATAAGGAACCAGCTTTCATAATGACCAAGAAGGAAGACAAAAGAAAAGAAGGAAATAAAGAAACTAAAATTTATTAAATTTATCTATAATGTGATAAGCACATATATTTTCTTATTTAATCCTCCTAATAACACCTTAAAGTATATATTCTTTTTTTTTATTTAAAGATTTTATTCATTCATTTGACACAGAGAGAGAGAGAGATCACAAGTAGGCAGAGCAGCACTCCAGTATATATTCTTATCCATATTTTGTTCAGGGCAAAATCTCTCACGTTACTTCATTTGGCTGTATAGGAACACATGCAAATATTTTCCAAGTGAGACGGGGCTATGGTGCCACAAAGTTTGGTATTTCAATGTGAAAAATTTCACTAAACATCTCTAATTTGTCAGTGGTCTTTTAGGACTTACATCAAAGTCATTATAAAATGAGAAGAAAACTGATGAAGGTACTTGTAATCCATGCTTTGTGGAGAGCCGGGGGTGGCGAGGAAGACCACAGTAGAGAATAATTTAAGATTAAAGAAAGGCATTCCTGGGGCGCCTGGGTGGCTCAGTGGGTTAAAGCCTCTGCCTTCAGCTCAATTCATGATCCCAGGGTCCTGGGACGAGCCCTGCATTGGGCTCTCTGCTTAGTAGGGAGCCTGCTTCCCTTCCTCTCTGCCTACTGTCTGTCAAATAAATAAATAAAATCTTAAAAAAAAAAAAAGGCATTCCTATTGATGTTCATGCCAGGGAAGGTTTCAGTCCCCCAGTCAGATGGCCAAAAATGGGCAGTAATTTTTAAAAATCATGGAGAATGAATCTCCTGTTTCCAAGGAGATAATCTTACTATAGCATCTTGCTTGAAAGTTATTCTTTGCCCTGATGAAAAGCTGAGAGAAATGAAGAGTTCCTGGCCTGTTCAGAATAGACCACAGTGATCCGCCAACTAGAACTGTCAAAAGATCCAAACGACATCAGAGCAGCATGTGGAAATAAGTAAGGCTAGAAAGCACAGGACTAGGCATTGTTTGGGATAACGTTAGGTGGACCTTATTTAGCAGGAAATCTGAACAAGGATCACTGTATTTGACCAGGCTGCTGTAGGAGTGGGCATCGGTGAAGGTTGGGGATGGAGGAAACCTCTTGGAGGAAGCAGGAAGACAAATAGATTATTGAGTAGGAGAGTGAATGCAGAGCATCTGGGAAACCAAACTTGGAACTTTAGAGTCCAGGAGATAACAGTTAATAAGGAGGCAACAGAAGCATTGCTTCAAAGATAGGAGTAGAGAGCTCTGGGTTGTCATAGATAACAAGCAAGTACAGAAGTCTGAGGGCTTCTATAGCCACCAGTAACTGAGAAGAATTCATATAAAGCCTAAGAAGTAGATTAGTGGTTGGTAGAAAAAGAACATTTTAAAAAGGAGAGCCAGAACTCAGAAGTAGGGAAAAATGGAAGGAGTTAGTATTTTATTGAGCACTTATGCCAGGCACTGTGCTGTGTGCTTTACATCTTATATAAAACTCATGGGACACCTGGGTGGCTCAGTCAGTTAAGCATCCAACTCTTGATTTTAGCTCAGGTCATGATCCCATGGTCATGGAATTGAGCTCTGGGTCAGGCTCTGTGCTCAGTGGGGAGTCGGCTTGCGATTCTCTGTCTTCCTCTGCCCCCACACCCACTCTTTCTCTCAAATAAATAAATCTTAAAAAAAATAAAATAAAATAAAACTCAAATCCACCCAAGAAAGTAAGAGACCATCCCTATTTTGTAAACAACAAATCTGGGGTTTAGATTTTGTTTTTATGGCTGGGAAGACTCTATATCAGATTAGCAAAAAGACCAGAGGTAGGGAGGAGAAACACTTTTTAACAGGGAGTTAGAAGAAGCTTTGAAAAGCTTTAATATAATATACTAAGATAAAGTAAACAAAACCAAGAAAACTTACCCTTGGGCCTGGTGCTCCAGGTGGACCCTATAACATGACAAATTAAAAAAGGATTTTTCAGTAGGGATCTTAAACCAAGCAAGGCATATAAGCATCAACAGTAAACAGATATAAATGTAAATACACTCACTGGAGGTCCTGGTTGACCTCGTGGCCCTTGGGGACCCTAGAAGAAATGGAGACAAAGCACAATACAAGTATCTTATGCTTTTGGTTTGATATAAACACAAGACAACTAAGATTCAACCTCTATCATTGCCTTTCATGTGAGGCAGGTCATAAGATTCAAAGTTGTTTTACTGTTTTGAAGTCATACCCTCTTCGTACTCAACTATCATACACATTCATGAACAAGCTGGATATTTACTTTCATGTTTTATTGATATTACTAGAAACTGAATTTATTCGTTTTAACAAATAATTATAAATACAACATTTAAAAATGTTAATACTGTCTAAGTATGTTTTTCTTGTTATTCCTAGCCTCCACCTTATCAGCAAAGATGAAACTTTAGTGTTCTTAGACACCTCCTTTTCCTTCAACATCCACCTATAATTTGGTTACCCAACACTGTTGAATTGACCTCCAAATCTCTCCAAAATACTACTTCTCCATCTTCACAGTGACTTAGTTTAATGTTAATCATGAGCTATAGACTGAATGTTTGTGTCATCCCCATTAACATATTAAAGCCCCAATCTCCAATGTGATGGCATTTGGAGGTGGGGTCTTTGGGAGGTAAACAGATCATGTGGAGCCCTTATGAATGGTAATGACTTAGAGAAATTATCTCTTTACCATATTAGGATACAACAAGAAGGCAGCTATCTGCAAACCAGGAAGAAGACCCTCACTTGACATCGAACCTATCAACATCTTGATCTTAGACTTCAGAGCCTCTAGAACTCAGAGAAATAATATTTGCTGTTTAAGCCACCAGTCTATGGCAATTTGTTGTAGCAGCCCTAGCTAAGGCATCACATGTTGCTTGTACTCCTAATCTGAGGTCCTGACTTTATTCTCTCTACTATGTTTTAATTATATTTATAAAATGGAACTCTCATTAGGTCATTATTTAGTTAATACTATGCAATGGCTCTTTATTGTCTAGAAATTATAAACTTCCTAACAGTAATAGCTACGATTTACTGAGAACTTACTACATGCTTAGTCGTGTGCTCACTTTCTGAGAACTATATGCTAAGTTGTGTGCTGTATTTCAGTTAAGAGAATGGCAATCAGCAAATACAGGACAGAGCTAGGATAAAACTGAAGTCAATTGGATAAAAAATATGTTCTTAATCAACGTACATCCCTGCCTCCTCTTCAAGATCTGGGCCTCACCTCTGCTTATTCGCCCAAACACACCTACACTCCATATATAAGCAACTACTTGTGGATCTCTGAATCTTCAAAGTTCATTCACACATAGCTTTCTCTTGCATGTGCTATTTCCTTGACCAGGAATGCTCTTCCTTACCTTCTCCATCTGTTTAACTCTAATCCCTCTTCCAGAGTTAAAACTCTATACCTACCTTGCTCACCCCTCCCCCGCCATCTCTCTCCTGCTCAACAAACCACTTCTGCATTCCCTAGTACATAACATGGTGGAAAATCCTTAGGAACCCTTAAGAGTGTCTTAGTCACCTTTGCACTTTCTGGAACAAGAATAGTGACTACTTTGTAGCAGGTGTGTGAAAATTGTTTTGAATGAATGCATAATATTAAAATTAACTAGTATTAATTTAGAAATTAGAACAATTAAAATGTATATAATAAAATGTGAAAAGTTATGTTGACATTTTTCAAAATGAAACAACAGTAATCACTATTAAGAGAGGGTATTATGCTAAGAAAATAAGTCAATCAGAGAAAGACAACTATCATATGATCTCACTGATATGAGGAATTTGAGAAACAAGACAGAGGATCATAGGGGAAGGGAGGGAAAAATGAAACAAGATGAAACCAGAGAGGAAGCCAAACCATAAGAGACTCTTAATCTCAGGAAACAAACTGAGGGTTGCTGAAGGGGAGGGGGGCAGGAGGGAGGGGATAACTGGGTGATGGACATTGGGGAGGGTATGTACTATGGTGAGTACTGTGAGTTGTGTAAGAGTGGTGAATCACAAACCTATACCCCTGAAACCAATAATACATTATATGTTAATAAAAAAAAAATAAAGTGGCTTGTGAAAAAAAAAGAGAGAGAGAGAGAGAGAGAAAGAATGTCTGCTCAAGGGATACCTGGGTGGCTCAGTCAGTTAAGCATCTGACTTTGGCTCAGGTCATGATCTCAGAGTCCCAGGATTGAGCCCCCCATCCAGGTCCCTGCTCAGCAGGGAGTCTGCTTGTCTTTCTCTCTCTGCCCCTCCTCCTGCTTGTGCTCTCTCTCTCTCTCTCAAATAAATAAATAAAATCTTAAAAAAAGAATGCTCCGAATTTCACTTATTTGATGATCAACTGAATAGTAAGACGACATTGAGTCAAATTAAGATTATGGTTAAAAGATGACAAAACACAATTTATCTTCAGATGACAAAACACAATTATTTAGATTTGAATAAAGTTGATGTTTTGCTTGACTTATATTAAGTATTGCTGGAGCTATTGATTCTAAATATCCTGTGACAACTAGAGCAAACAACAGTAACTTAAAAATGATAGAGTACTCCAGTACCATGCCTGCTGGACATTTCTTGGTTTGCATGACTTATGATTACAATTTACAATAAAGAATGTATGAAACTTGTACCTCATAAGCTGCATGATAAATTACAGAAATGTTATATTGGAGATAACCTTTAAATATATACAGGCTCAGAATGAATTTGGCTGTGTAAGTGTCTCCGTTCTGGAGCAACATTGTAAAAAAACAGTTGACATTTCACCCCACTTAGCATATTTTGATATTTGCAAAATCTCACTGGTGGTTCAGGACAAAACATATATCTTTGACTTCGAAAGAGGAATTTATCATAAAAGGAAGAAGCTAATTCTACTGCTGACTTTATTGATTTCTTTTCAGCTTGTTATCCAAAACAAGTCCAGTCATTATAAATGTGATCAAATGAAATACCTGTAACCAAACAAGACAGGGCAAAACAACTTTAAGAAAACAACTACATAGAATGATGCAATTAGCCAAGTAAAACAAAATATTATAACAATATAACATTTATTAGTTCTTTTCTATCCCTTTAGCTCACCAATAAGAAAAAGTGAGTAACTCTCTCTAGATATTATAGAAAAAGGTATTTAAAGCAGTTTATAATAGAAGCAGTTTATAATAAAACTATGATTGTCTGTGTTACTTTCCTAAAGGGAAACAAAATTAATGTGAATGCTTCTAGTGATAATTTGGCCATAGTCAAAGCACTACTATTGGAAATAGACACTCTTTCCATTTAATCCCAGAATTTACATTTGATCCTCCAAAGGTAACATATTTTTTCTTATTCCTTAAAAATACTGATAAGTGCACATCCTTGAACTTGAATATGTTAGACTTCGCTGTTACGTAAATGCAATCTTGACTTAGTTTCATAATCTTCATAGGCAGGCTTAGGTATACAGAGCTTCCTTATTCTCATTTATAAATTGAGAACCTTGCATTATAGGATGTTCAGCAGCATCCCCAGTCTCTACTCGCTAAATGCGACTAGCAACTCTCCCTTTTCCCCGGTTGTGACAATTAAATATGTCTCTACATATTGCCAAATGTCTCCTGTGGTATGTGTGTGGTTTGGGGGCAGGGGATGTCTCCTCGTTGAGAACCACTGATTTAGAGGGTTTAATTGGGAATTTAGTAATATTAAATAAGATTTATTAGAAGTAATATGCTTAGAATGGAATCAGTGAATAATAAGGCACAGAGGATAACTAAAAATTAAGAATCTACTCATGTGGAATCTGCCGAATAAATGGCTGAGCTACTCTTAATGTAGGTGAGAGGCATCTATCTGTCTATACCATCTTCTTATCCAAGTTGCTCCTAAAGCTTATTTTCTGAGAAGCACTATAATTAATAGAAATAGTTACAGGAATTGGGAGACCTGGGCTGTGATCTTTTCTCTGTACCTCATTAGCTGCATGTCCTTGAGTGATTTGCTGCACATTTGGATCTCAGATATCTCAACTGTAAGAAGGTTTGGTGAAGATATATCCCTAAGATTCACTTTAAAATTGTGATTTTTCAAACATTTTATCAATTTTTTTCCTTCATATGTTGTATTTGAAGAAAGAAGGTAGCCACATGCATGCAAGTTGGGAATTTTAAATTTGAAGTTTGTATGAATGTAAGGAAGTATGTCCTTGAATTAAAAGAGTTTGATAATTATTTGAATGAATTATGCTATCTATGGATTTTAAAAATCATATACATATATACTTTAAGTTCTTAATTTGATAATATTTAAGACATATTTTCCCATAACTTAGCTTTTCCTTATAAGGCATCTTCCTCCCTTTCAAACTGGAGGCAAATAAGATAATTCTGCTAATCAAGAACTGTGAAGACACATGAACTTAGAGGTACTATGTGAGAAAATATCAATTGTATTCTTCAACATTTTATTGATTTTCATTAAATAATATGCTACAAAAATGAGACAACTAATCTAAAAATTTAAATGCTGAGATTATTCTCTATTTTTTCCACTTCTGTGGCTTTAAGCTATATGTTTCAAGTTGTGACATTTTGTCAAAACCCTTTTCAGATGATTGACACTAGGATATTATTTTTGTTATGAGTTAAAATTCTATTGTTCTACTAATTGTATCATTTCTGGTGATCTTTTTTTTTATGCATTACTTACTTCATAAATTAATCATGTTCTGAAAGTGTTTGGTGTCTCATGGAAACCAGGAAATTTTTACAACTTTTAAAGATTAATCTGCATTAACATGATAGTTTTGAAGCAGGGGAAGAGGAGAGAGTTCTACATGCTATATGCTAGGAAGCCTTCCCAGGATGTCATAAAACTCTGGCTCAGTTTAGAATATATATACCAAAGGCAGGCAGATATGGAACACATATAGAATAGAAAGGAAAAAGTCACTCTTTAATATCCGGCAATACAGAAACAACTTTCTCAGCAGTGGAGAGGACCTATTTGGGACCAATACTAGAGTTTATAACCTTAAACTGTAGAACATAAAATCTTCCGAGCCAGGAAACCCAAATTTATCCTAAAAGATATATATTTCATATACTATATAATGAGATGTAACTTTTTTTTTTAAAGGCATTGAATAATGATTTGGTCTTAGTATAAAATGGCATAGCTTTATAAATTCTTATGCCAGCTTCATGGAAGATTTAAAAAAAATAAGATTTATAAAGCCTGCTTGATATATTCTTATATTTCTGATTTTTTTTATGAAGAGTGACGTATCATGTTTGTCTCAATATAATAGATCTTGGCTAATAAAAATTCATTCCAAAAATGTCCCATTTTGGGCATATGGGAGGCCCCATATTATTTGAGGTTGACCCCCTTGAGGATATATTTGGAAACATAATAATTAACTAGAAGTCTATAGGTAGGTAGTTAAACCATTCCCTTAAAGAAAACAAACCTGCAGAAAATACTGAAAAAAATCCTAATGAGAATATCAGAAATGTTACTAAGCTTTTCCATAGGATGAAAGCAGAGTATGGTTTAAATTATACATTCTATAAAGTTAATGCAGATGATTTCTAGGAATTAAAAGATTACTTTTTTAAAGTTCCTTAAGCCATAGTGGGATCAAAGAGAAAGAAGTGATAAAAAGATATTTAGTACCAGTTAATTAACAATAAAACCAGTAAATTCTAATGTGCCAGTTAATCCTTTTTTCAACAGCTAATTTTATTGCCTATACTAAATACCACTCTGCTCCTCTCCCAATCTTGTGTACTAGGAGTTTGCACTTTATTTATGAAGGGAACTATGGTAATCTACAGAGCAAAAGACTAATAAGTATGTTAAGTCAGTAAATGCTACTTTACCAGCCATAACATGACTTTTAATTTTATGGAATAGTATTCATTTAGTTATTCTTTTCTCAAATATTATCTATTACATGGTAGATTTTTTTCTGGATACTGATAACCAGTGTATTAGACAAAGTTCCCTGATCTCATGTAGTTTATATTCTAGCAGAGGAGACAGAAAAATAATTTTTAATACTGCTAACTACTACAAAGAAAACAAAACAGGATATTGTGAAAGAGAATGACCAGGAATAATGAGACTAAATGATGATGCAAGGCTTCTCCGAGATAGTATTTGAGCATAGACCTGAAGAATGAGATAAGAACTAGCCATGTGGAGAGCAGATGAAAGAATTTTCTAAGTAAAATGAAGGCAGTTTCAAAGAATAAAAAGGAAGTGTGCACAGTAGGAAGGGGAAAGGAATTACATCATGAGTCTGGAGAGGAAAACTGGAGCTAATTCTTGTAGGGTATGGTAGACTAAAGTAAGGAATTGAGACTTTATTCTCAGTGCAAGGAGTCATAGAAAGGTTTTCAAGAGGAGGGTGATATAATCTGGTTTATGATTTAATGGTATCACTCTAGTTGCTACAGAGAAGGAACTATAGTAGGGAAAAGTGGAAGGAACTCAAAGAAGTCAGGAGACCAGGGGAGACATCAGGGTGATCTGGACAACACTGCCAGTGATGAAGAATGAGAGGTGTACATGGATTCAGAATAAGAATCAGACTTGACATGATCTCGCCTCTACTTTAAAGAACTCTTCTTTATGTTCTGTACCTTTCTTTGTTCTTTTATGGGATGTCTACTTACTTTTCTTTTATTAGAATCATAAACTCTTAGAGCTGCAAGGGGCTTTAGATGTATAAATTCTAGTTCCCTACTCAGTAGAGGACTACCAGTTCAGTAACTCAGAAGGATAGTCATTAGGCTTCTACTGACAGGCATTCACTATCTTGCAAAACAATCTCGTTTTAAAATAGTCCCATTATTGGGGACCCTGGATGGCACCATCGGTTGAGTGGCAGATTCTTTGTTTCAGCTCAGGTTGTGATATCAGGGTCCTGAGATTGAGCCCCGCTTGGAACGCTGCTCAGAGAGAGCTCTGCACGGAGCTCCACGCTTCACACTCAGCACGAAGTCTACTTGGGATTCTCCCTCTCCCACTGCCCCTCCTGTTTATGCTCTCTATCCCCTCTCTAAAATAAGTAAATAAACCTTAAAAAAATAAAGCGGTTCCTTATTATATTGGCTTATTATTATATTGAGTTGAAATCAGCCTTAATGTTCCATCCATTTAGTTAATGGTATCTATTCTGTATAAATTATGTGCTAAGTTGTGTGACAGGCTGGAAATTAGGGAGTATTAAATGTACTTCACACTCTTATGGAGCTCACTGTCTCTCAGGGAGTTAAGCACAGAAATGGAAAATTCAATTCAACAAATAAACAATTTAAAATATATCATGGAGAGTCACTCATATTATACAGATTCTTCCTCTTCCTTTCAAATGTTTAAAGACAACTATCATGTCCCAACCCCTCAAATGTTTTCTAATTCATTCACCAGTAATTTCCTTTCCCCTTTCCACTCCTCCTGGGGCATATGACTTCACTGTGTGCAGTCATCCTTGCTTTCTGCTAGAGTAAGTCCCCGGAGAAAATATGAGGGCATGCTTCTGCAAATTAAAAACATCTGTTTTGGGGTGGGCACTGGCTGGTTCAGTCAGTAGAGCATGCATCTCTTGATCACGGGGTTGGGAGTTCAAGCCTCATGTTGGGTGTAGAGAGAACTTAAAAATAAAATCTTAAAATAAAATCTATTTTGATCCCTCTGGGATTCTTAGACTATCTAAAATCACTCAATTTCCCTTCTTCAGCTAATTAACATAACTGCAACTTATTTATCCTGAGCCCCAAGAATACCCTATGGTGAAAAGAGAAAATATCAGCTGTCAATATAATTTCATTACTTATTAAGCAGGATTTTACTGCGACCTTCAAGTTTATTCTTATTTGCCTTCTGTACTTGGTTTCACTTCATGCCTGCGCTCTGTTTAAGCTGGAGCTTTAGTAAGTTCAGCAGAATCTCTGCTGGAAAAGTGTCCCCTTTACAAAATATCTTCTTTAACTGGGGTAAATGGCATCCCAGAAAAGTAGGAAATAGTGCCAGCATAAGCCATATAGAGCCAGAACGTGCTATGTACCTTTTGTCCACCCTCCCACAATTGTTTCCAATTGGCTGCAAAGCTAACGATTTGCTTCTGCTTGGCACCTCTTGGGCACTGACTGGACATAGTGGGTATAACCCCGCACCCCCCCCGCCAAGGCAACTTGGTGGTGCTCTCACTCCAGGACTGTTGTAGAAGGCTCACAAAGCAAATGCCTGATGCTCGACAAGGCAAATATGCCATTTCACACAGGGCCTGGGAAGAATTTGATTGGCAGGCTCTTAAACATGTTTTGTGGGGGGGTACTCGGGTCCCACGACAATGTACCACTTAGATTAGTTCTACTTCCTGAAAATTCTGATTTTATTTTTATTCCACAAGTATTAGAGACATAATCATGAAAAAACCCCAAACAAGGTCCTTGCTTTTATGGAACCTAGGTAGCCTAGTGACAAGTGATAACATAACCAGAAATTTAAACTTACAGTTTCACCTCTAATGCCTTTTTCACCTGTGGGTCCCTACAAGAAAACAAAAAATGTTGTTTTAGTGCTACTGACAGTTACTTACCAAATGTAGTTGAGGCTATATACAGAAACACGGTAACCTCTGTTTTTATTTTTTCTATCTAGCAAGCCTTCTTTAGCAAATTTATATAAATTCTAGTTTCCTTTCCCTAAGGTAAGCAAAGCAAAACACAAACAAAAACAAGGTATTGATTTATCACCTTATGCACAAAGTTAGACAGGGGCAACAAGCACTCAGTGAAGCCGAAACAGCAGATCTGATAATCAGATACAGAGCTATCTAGAAGGGAATTTACCAGCTTAAATTCTTCTAATATTTGTTTACCTCAGCCTTTGAAAACCTTGTTTCTAGGGTGATGTCCTCCTTTTCTTTCATTTTCTCTATTCCTCCTTCTGAGCTACATCCCACAAACTTTGGTATGTTGTATACAAGAACATTCAGTTTTAATTATTTTCTAACTTTCCCTGAGATTTCCTCTTTGATCCATGGATTATTAAGAAGTACATGGTTAAAAATGCAAGTGTTTGGAGATTTTCTTATTATCTCTCCAGTTTACCAGTTTTTACTTTAATTCCATTATGGCCAGAGAACATACCTTGTGTGACTTCAGTTCTTTTAGGTTTAGTAAACAATTTTTTATGATTCAAAATATGGTCTATTTCAGTGATTTTTCCATGTACACTTGAAGAGAAAGTATAGTCTATTATTAGATGGACCTATTGTTCAAAAAATCTGTTAGTATTTTTGTTTTCATCCTTGTGGAAATTATATATGTATTTTTTATTTTAAAAACGAGATAGTACTATTTGTCTTTTCAGAGACCTGAATTTACACTTTCACAATATGTTATAAGTGTTTTCCACATCAATCCACATTCTTCCATACAATTATAATGTTTATTTAGTGCTTAATAAACAATAATATTTTTATTGAATTTCCTATTAGATTATTTCTAATTTTGGTCATGCTAACACTGCAACAAATATCCTTGTAGTCTATAAAAATTGTCCTAAAGAAAGTTTATTTGAGTATGCATGCATGCCTGCACAATATGGGGGTTTATGACTTCTGACACACACCATGTACTATCATTCTTTGTTAATCTTGCAGGCTAAAATTATGATCTCATTATTTCACCATTGATCAGTTCTTATTTGTTTCCTGATTGTTCTAAACTCCTTTTAAACTGGGATATTAACTTTCAGAAACGAATTGTTAAGATACCTTTATAGAACTTGCTTTTAATGCCCTAGTCTACCTCCAGCCCGGTATTAACAATTTGGTATGTACGTTTTTTCATACCTTTTTTCCTAAGCAAATATTGATAAATATATTTATGTATGTATGGGGTGACTGGTTATATTTTATAAAACTGATATATACTCTTCTATGCATCAGATTTTTCACACTTAACAATACATCATGAACAGCCACAAGGCAGCTAAACTAGATATAACCGGTTGTTTTCAATAATTGCATAGTATTCTATGAAATGGCTAGGCCACGATTTACACAACCATTCTTCTACAAATGAACATGGGATTTCATGTTTTGCCACTACATCCAGTACTGTGAAAAAAATTTTTGTAAACTTTCCTTAGTGTACACTGAGTGCTTAATTTCTATTGCACAAATTTCTCTAAGTGGAACTGATTGGTCAAAAGGTATATGCACTTATATTTTAACAAATATCTTTTTCCATGAAGGCTATAATTCACATTTCTACTACTACTGTTCTCCCTAATCCCCTTCTGAGAGGTTAGATGTAATATCTTGTTATTACTTTAATTTGCATTTCTAAGTAAGGAGAGCATCTTTCCAAAAAATTATTGGATTTGTTCTTCAATTTTCTATTGAGTTTTCTATCTTTTTCATACCAAATTGTAAGAGCTCTTTACACATAAAGTCTTTATATATTTTTGCAATTGCTTTCCCCCAACTTATATTAATTTTGTTTATGGAATCTTTTCCCATTCAAAATTAAAAAAATTTGAAATGAACACATATTCTGTTCTATTATATAGTTTTAGGATTTCCTTTCTTATATAAAAGGTCTTCTCAACCTTAAAGCTACACTTTAGCTTTCTAAGTTTTTTAATAATTTAAAGTCTTAAAAAAAAGTTAAAAAAAAAAGTTGGGTGAAATATGGTTCCAATTTCTTACAGCAACAGTGGGACTAAAAATAATTCCATCTCCACTGTCAGTGGTATAAGAATGGGCATGTGGCTGATCAATGGACATGAGGAAAAATGCAATGGGAGACTTCTGGAATAAAGCTTTATTTTTTTCTCAAGATAGGGCTGTAGATCAGTTTTCACTTTGGATAATTGTATCTGGATTTAATTGCTGAGAAATTACAGTTATAGAAGCTTCATTATGAAGCTAACACTCTGGATGACAGAGTAGAGACATGGAAAGAACCTGGTCTTGGATAACATGATTGAGTCACTAAATTAACCAAATCTGAAGCCCTTCCTACCTCTGGGCTTCCCTTAATGTGATATAAATTTCCTTATTAAAACCAGTTTGATTCAGGGTTCCTATTAACTTAAGAGCCACAATCATCCTGATATAACATTTTTGTTACGATTAAATTCCTATATATTCTGAGATCTAATTCTGGGCTCTAGCCTATTTACACTCATCTATTTGTTTATTCCTTTGTGCTACCATATAGTCTCATTTACAATGACTTAAAAGTAATGTTTCCTTATTTGGAAAAGCATATCTTTCATCCCCCACCACTATTTTTTTTCTCTCACAAAGTATCTGCCATTCTCAAGTGCTTATTCTTTCATAGTAGACTTTTCTTAGAAGACTCTTTTTAGAATGGAAAAAATGGAACATGGAAAATATTTGATGGGCATGGTGAATATCATAAGGATCTTTAAGAACTAGCTATACATAAAAGTTATTTTAATTGAGCCATTTCTTTATTATAGTTCCCTTGACTAATTAATATTTCACATTTTTTGACAGAGGAGAACAATTATTCAGTAATCACAAGTATGTGTTTCTTAGCTTGCTGAAGAACCACCCACCAAAATCAGAGAATTCTCCCACTTACAATCTCCCACTTAGACTATATAGCTCTGAGTGGTAAATGCTGAAAATCTAGAGAAATGTTGTTACACTTTTCATTTGTAAAATCAAAAATTCAACAGCTTTGGTGGGAAATTCTTTCCTAATTTATGAAAGAGAATATTGTTTATACCTAAAGCATTCCATTTTATATATTAAGACTCTGTGTCTCTCCATAATAATGCTTTCAAAGGATTCAAAATATTGATTCCCTGTAGGGAATACCTTTTTCCTCTCCAAATCTCAATTTGTCCCTACCTACTGGGTTCTTTCTCTTGTATGTTTACACTACTATTAGTATTGTAAAACTCTCCCCTGACCACTCTGCCAACCATTGTCTTATTTTTCTGTTTTATTTCATATTCAGATTTCTAAAGGCACTGGCCTCTACTAACTGTCTCAGTGTCCTCTCCAGACACAGTTTGGATGGGGGCAGAAAGAGCTGAAGAAACATCACCTATGTAATTCACTAGCTGTACCACCTTGAATTAACTAGGTGAACCTTTGTGAACCTAATCTGTTTCCCCATGTCTTAAATAGAAATGATAATTCCTACTTTAAAAGTCTGTATAGGAATTTGAGAAAAGTTATTAAATATTTATATTTACTTCCTTCCTTATTGCAGTTTATACTTTATCTTCTACTATAATTTATTTTCTTAAAGATCATTGTTAACCACTCCTTACTTGAAACTCATTTAGCTGAACCTTGTGCTTTTCTGTTTTTCCTGGTATTCCCACAAACTATCTCTTTTCTTTATAGTGAGTGGGCACTTCCAAAGATTCGGATCTTGGCTGTCTGCACTTTTTTTGTTACACTTTCTCCTTCAGAAAACGGATTCTTTTTATTGCTTTAGTGATCACATCTATACTAATGGTGCTTAGCCCCTTCTCCCCTGCTCCAGGTCTACTTTCCTTTCTCAACTCCAGTTTTAGTGTTTATCTCACTATATACGCCTTCTTCAGTACACATATGGTCTCTAAGCTCTTAGGAATCACCTTCTAGATGAAAATGTACATCTATTTTTGCCCTTGGCTTCTCAAATACCCAGAGTAATCCTTTTTGGATTGCTCTAGAAATAGGATTAAAGAGGGAAAAACAAGAATATGAAAAAGAAAAGGAAGACCTATATTGTAACAAACTTACAGTTCTACCTGTTGGGCCTATTATACCTTCTTTGCCAAAGGGGCCAGTGTTTCCCTGTTGAGGTAAAAGAAAATCAAGTCAGTCTCACTGCCAGTATAATGCAGAAAAATTCCAGAAAATTTCTTGTGTAACAGTAAAATAGTCCATGTCCACATAATTCCAGTTTTTAGTAGAAAATCTAATAATATCAAAAGAAATCATAGTACTTTTGACTTGCCGTATGTGACACAATTCTATATGTTATTACAGATTCCTATCAGAAGAGTTACATCTGTGTAATTTCTAACAAACTGCTAAATCAGCAATACAATTTTTGTGTGGTGTTAACTTTAACGATGCCATTTTACATGTGGGTTATTACATAAAAAATGCAAGTACTTTACATAAAAAAGACTACATAGAATGGTGAACAAAATTTTGAATAACTTTCCTTACGGAGGTTGAAGGAGATGTCTGAGTGACTTGCAGCATGGAATTGAGAGAAGGCATGGGAAAGAAACAAAGAGCATCATATGTGACTAACTTCAGTTTCTCCATCTGTTAAATATGATTGTCTGTATCATAGGGCCATTTTGAGACTTAAATGTGAAAAATGATTTTGAAACTGTAAGCTGTTATTGATTATGAAGATAACCTTGAATAAGCTCAGTCTGGTCAATTCTTCCCAAACTATGTATGGAAGCTATCTTTTTTTTAATTGAAGTGTAACTCACTTACAATATCTTATTAGTTTCCAGTGTACATCACAATGACTCAAAATTTTTATATATTATAAAATGATCCCCACATTAAGTCTAGTTACTATCTGACAGCATACAATGCTATTACAATATTACTGACTACACTTCCTATTGTATAGATTACATCCTCAGGACTTACTTATTTTATAATTGAAAGTTTGTACCTCTTAATTCTCCTCACCCATTTTGCCCGCCCCCCAACCCCTCCCCTCCTCTAGGAACCAATAATTTGTTTCCTTATATCTATGTATCTGCTTCAATTTTGTTTTGTTGGCTTGTTTTATTTTTTAGATTCTACATGCAAGTAAGATCATGCTGTATCTCCCTTTCTCTGTCTGACTTACTATTTCTTTATGAATACAAAATACTTGTTGTACTTATTTTCCCTCAACCTCCACTCCCACTCCCATTTGCAGCAAATTTCAGTCTTTCTGGCTCATGCTTAACCTGAATTCTTAAATGTAAGTATCTAATAGGCTTTCTCTTTATCCAACTCCTGCCCTGGTACAGAAAATACTAGCAATTGAGATCATTATGTTATAAAGTCTATTCACAGATAGCTTAGAATCACTTTTAAATACAAAGACTGACTTTAAGTGGTAATTTGTAAATATGGTCCCCAAATCTCAAAGATCTACAACCAAATCAAGACATAGAACACTACATCAAAAACTAATGATGTACTGTATGGTGACTAACATAACACGATAAAAAAAAAAAAGAGAGAGTTGATTCATAAACTAATCAAATTTAAGCCCTAGATTGGTTTATCACTGAAAAAAAAGTCAACAAAGCTTTAATTTAATGAACTGGACCATGATCTGACTCTAAAATAGTGATTTGTTAAAAGAACGGAGAGGTATATATGAACTCTAGAAAATGGTAGACCAAACAGCAAAAAAAAGTGTTATGCTTATCTAAATGTGTCTGAAATACAAAGTGTTTTGATTTTATTTATTATTTATTTTATATTTTTAGAGAGGGAGAGAGAGGTAGTGGGGAAGGGGCAGAGGAGGAGGGCAAGGGATAATCTTAAGCCAGCTCCATGCCCAGCATGGAGCATGAGGCAGGGCTCCATCGCACAATGCTAACAACATGACCTAAGCTGAAACCAAGAGTCAGACATTTAATCAACTAAGTCACCCAGGTGAGCCTGAGGTGTTATGATTTTAACGGTTGGTCCAGTTAACTACATAAAAACATCTTTGAAATGAAGAAAAATTAATCCAGATTTCCTACTTCAATTAATTTATTTAATCATCTAGTATTTATTGATTGTTGAGCAAGAACTAGTTACTAGGCCACTTAATATCCATTCTATATTCTAATTAAACAATTAGCAGGCAACCTTATAACATATTATTTGGCCAGTCAGCTGTGAATTCAGATTTTGGCTCTTCTACTTACTAGCCAGGTATGGCCTTGAGCAAATTACCTTTCAGAGACTTAGTTTCCCCATCTGAAAAATGGGGATGATGGCATCTCTCACAGGATTTTTATCAGGATTAAATGAGAGAAGGGACACAGACTGAACACTGGTAGATAATAGCTTTTTTGCTAAGTTATTAACCTATCATGACTTTTCACTTGTCTTTATAATGACTCAGCAAGAGATATCTGCAATTATAAATTAATATTCATGAGCAGTTACCAGAACTTTATTATTGGTGAACTGATAAAATTTCTGGAGCTGTAAAGTAGGATAGGGCTCAGACCCTGGCCTACAGAAACCCAGTGCCTAGTAAGATTCTGCTTAGGACAGATGTTAGGCAGGCAGCCAAATATCAAGAAAGGACTAATTAATTGAGAAAGCTTAATAAAACTACAGTGAAAGGATTTAATTAGTAGGGAACTTAATATATGTAAGAACTTAAAAGCGACGTTTATTAAAGAGGAGGCGTTCCACATATAACTCACCTGTGGATAATCAAGAATTGGGCCTCATATAAAAGCACCAACTTTCCGCGGTTCTTCAGGAATCATAAAAATAACTAATAAATTTGCATCTGAAGAAATGTTGAGGCGGGTCTTTAAACAAACATTTCTCAGGGCAACATTGACCTTTGTGTTACTGAAAATAATTTATTGTAAGAGTTGGAGAAGAAGTGTAGTATTTAAAAAATTTGACTGTTCATTTAATATTTTGCACAAGACACTGATTTTCAGCTGTATAGTTCTTCGAGATTCTTTTCTCCTGCTTCTGGACCACTTTCCTTCTTCTCTTTGCTGTCTCCACCTTTGTCCCTATAGTCGCTATTACTCAAGGGGGTGCAACTGCTACAGTCAAACCACTGTTCGACATTTTATCACTTTTTTTTTTTTTCCAGTTTTACAGATCATCTCATCAATTAGGAGACTGGTTAATGAAAGCAAAAACAAAACAAAAAGCAAAATAAAACAAAACAAAAAACCAAAAACCAGTAACTGCTGATGGCTTATCTATCCCTACTTATATTTGCTACACTTTGCAATTCTAGGTACTAAACAGCTAATGGAATTCTTCAGACACCAACATTCTCAACTCTTTAAGCAGTTCCTCATCACTCTCCAGGGATAGCTACCCCTGAGCTGGGAAAACATAGCTATTGGGAAATATTCTTCAAAATGTGGTGTGAGGAGTTCTGGTTCTAGACAAGCCTCCTCCAAGTGGTGCATGGGGGTGGTCTCTGGTCTCTGGTTGCATTAATGCTTATAACACGAAACTGCTTTATGTTTTTGCTCCTAATGTGAGTTAATAAATACATTATCCAGTATCAACATTAATTCTGATATGTATTTTCTAAAGTAAGAACAGGGAAGATGGGTGGTCTCTAGGGTCTTTTGCTCAAATTAATATATGAACTGTAAAAGGCTGAGAACATTTGCATGGGATCTAATGAGTTTCTTTTTTTTTTTTTTTTTAAAGATTTTATTTATTTATTTGACAGACAGATCACAAGTAGGCAGAGAGGCAGGCAGAAAGAGAGAGGGGGGAAGCAGGCTCCCTGCTGAGCAGAGAGCCTGATGTGGGGCTCGATCCCAGAACCCTGGGATCACAACCTGAGCCGAAGGCAGAGGCTTTAACCCACTGAGCCACCCAGGCGCCCCTGAGTTTCTATCTTTACAGTCATTTTATTAAGTTATTAATTTGGAGTATATTAATTTTAGAATTCTTAATGCTAATTCCTAAAATAAGCAAAGAATCACAATCTCCCGGCAAGTAGAATGACTTTATACTTACTCTCTGTCCAATAGGACCTTTAGGACCTGATATTCCAACAATGCCAGCATCTCCCTCAGGACCCTAAAAATAGAATAAAAATAAAAAGTCAAAATCTTTCGTTCTATATGAACATTTTACAAGTGAAATAATCTTATAATAATCTATTGAGTTGGTTCTTAAAAAAAATGATGTACATGCTGAAGTACTATGGAGGAATTGTTCTGAACTATGCAAGTTACTTTGAAGTGCATCAAAATGAATTCAGAGAGGGAGAGAAGGATAGATAGAGTCATGATAAAGCAAGTCCAGTAAAAAGTTATGGTGGAACCTAGGTAAGAGGTATATGGGTTTTTACTCATTCTCTCAACTTTGCTGTATGTTTGAGCATTTTCAAATTAAAATGCTTGGGAAAATGGAATGTGAGGGGACAGAGGTGAGTTATTCTTAAAATTGGTAGGAAAATATACACCTATGTAAAATTTTATATTAATATTTAATTTCAAAATTCAAATATATAACTCTATGAACAGAAATTTTGCAGATTAGGAAATAGGTTGTCAGAGACTCAAGTCAGAGACTAAATACTGGTATTTTGACATCTTTCTGATGAATAGCAGAAAATGTGTAAACATACTCTGGGGCCTGGGAATCCTTGGAAACCTGTCAAACCTTGAACACCATGTTCTCCCTGCAATGTGAATGGACAGGATAATCATTATTATGCAATGGTGGCCTGGCCTATAAAATAATAATACTTAGTGAATTTCTGAGTTGGCACATACAGGCTGCCCTTTCAGACCAGGCTCTCCACATGGTCCTTGATCACCTTGTGCTCCTCGGTGACCTCTTTTACCTTGAATTCCAGGTTGACCAGGTAGCCCTTGTTCACCCTATGGACAAAAAAAAAAAAAAAAAGAAAGGTGATCTTGACTTTAGAATCTATAAGCAAACTGTGTTTTAAATGAAACCCCAATACAGGTCCATCCTTAGGCAAAAGTACAAGGCACTGGGGAAATCAAATTCTGCATGGTCATTCTCCCTACCAATATTTTTCACACAAGTAATTGATTATAATAAGCAAGAAGTGTAACAGTGGGGAAAGAAAATTTCAGGGACTGTGGCCATAAGTGTGGAAAAAATAGGGAAAGGGGAAGGATAGTGGGGCTAAAGAGAGAATAGTGAGAGGTGGTGCGTGTGTGGGTGGGGTGTTTATATATTATGGAATTTGTATTTTATTTGAATCAGTATTATTTTGTTGTGTTTTCCTCACCATACAGAGATGATTCAGCTGATACCAGAAACAGAGCAGGGTCTCCTGAAGTGTGTGAGCCTTGGCTTTTACCATGGTTACCTTTTCAATCCTATCATTAAGAAATTTCTAGTACTTGTTTCCCAGGATTCCCTTTCATACATATTCCTATCATCTCCTAAAATGTCACTTTAAAGATATACTTAAGCACTACTGTTTTATTTGTAAAAGTTAAGGGTTTTCTAAATTCATTTTTATTTTATTTTTGAAATGAAAGTTGCAATATCTTTCACACCATGTCTAAAAATAATAATCAGGAGGAGTTTAGAGTTAGGTTAATAAAAAATGAAGGTTGGTAGATTTTGATCAAAGATTCTTTAAGATTAGCAAATTATCCTTCACTGTCTGGAAACAAAGACACAGCTTTGAGACTTGACAAATATGGATCCTTCTTATTGTCAGGTCATACTTAAGAGATAGGAATTTTATTTCACTTTCTGGTTTTAGCACTGGTTCAGCTACATTGAATTTTAGTGGAAAGGGATGAGTCATTTCCAGTTTACCCATATGGGTCAGAATACCTGAACATTCTTTAGAACTGAAACTATGAAAATCAAATAAAGAGGTGATAATGATGAGGGTGCCAACATCTTAATCCCTGGCTTTTATAAAATTGCTTTAGACACTGGAGTCATCTCTTGGTTGTAGGGGTCAATTCTGCATTGAGATAGCTCTAAATCAGGTTTTGATTAGAAAGCCTTATTGAATGCACAATACTCCATTCAATGACTGCTAATGCAAGATTTAATGATGATCACTTTGACTCTAAGAAATAAGCTCTACTCCTATCAGATTTATGAACTGTTGGGTAGATTCAGATTCAGAGGAATGGGAAGTATTTCTAAGAAAGTATGTATCTGGAAGTAATAAGATTTCTCTTTTTAGGAGGAGACAGAGGATGACAGGAAAGAAGAAACAGAATGAGTCAAAGAGCACCTTTTAAAGCATTGCCAATACTGAATTAATGAGTTGTTCTGGCAATTATATGTACCATGGTTATCACAGGAGAGGAGAATGTCCAGGCCACACACTTTCCTTTTTTTCCTAATGTCTTTTTACTATTGATCAAATTTATTAAAAACCATTAACCTTACCATCCTGTGACCTAGCCAATGAACTCAGGGACAAGATGTTTGTCAATGGTGCTGCTCATCTATCAGAAGAAAATGTTATAGTACCTTTGGGCCTGGGACCCCTGGGCTTCCTGGGAGGCCTGATGACCCCTTGGCTCCTCGAGGACCTGGAGACCCAACCAGTCCTGTTCTTCCCGGGCTGCCTCTCATGCCCTAAGAAATAAGAAATGAAAATTGGGACATTTGCTAAGAATTCATCCAGAGGCTCAGTATATGTAGGAGGGGATGGTGTTCCGAAAGGCTGCTGTTGCCACACTGCCTGGGTTTGAGACCTATCCTGGGCTTCTTTCCCAAATAAGTGAAATACTTTTTTTTTTTTTTTAAAGATTTTTTATTTATTTATTTGACAGAGAGAGATCATAGGTAGACAGAGAGAGAGAGGGGGGAAGCAGGTTCCCCGCTGAGCAGAGAGCCCAATGTGGGGCTTGATCCCAGGACGCTGGGATCACGACCTGAGCTGAAAGCAGAGGCTTTAACCCACTGAGCCACCCAGGCGCCCCTAAATAAGTGAAATACTTAAGTAATGTTTTGACTCACCTAAAGTCTCTAATTATAGTTAATGTAATGGTCTGAGGTATTTAAAATGAAAATACTGAGGCAGTATAGTCTGTCAGCACCTTCTGACTTAAATAGCCTAGGTGCAAAGTATGTGTGTTGTGTTCTCACTTTCTGTATTATATTCTGGATACGCATGACAACTCTAATAACTGATTAATGTTTCCTTAAGAAAAATATTCTATGGCTATTAACTAGACCTACTGTGGTGATCACTTCTCAATACGCACATCTATCGATTCATTATGCTGTATATCTGAAACTAATATTTTATGTCCCTTATATATGTTTCAATTTAAAAAAAGATTAAGAAATTTAAAAAAAAAAAAAAAGGTTTCTGAGCGGTTCACTTGTTAGCCCAGCATGGAAAATCACTTACTGATATGACTTACATCATGTCCTCAAAGTAAACTTGCTTCAGATTATTACCTTTTGGCAAGAACAACGGCCTGAAATGGTAAAGACATCGGAGCAGCTTCAATAGCCCATTAAAAAACAAGGCAAATGCTTTTCAGTGGTTTTCCTTGCCTCTTGATGAATTAACAGATGTTACCAATACTACTCAGTTGTTGGTTTGGGAGCCAACGCTGTGTTGAAGTGACTGAAGAGCTAACCTACGTGAACAGTCTGCAGACTGACTATAGGTGAGAATATTTTCAAAGAATTTAAAACACTGAATCAGTACAACCTCAAGTGGAATCTGCTAAAATGTGATAAAAACTAATAGCAATGCATTGGGAAAATATTTATTGAACAAATTTACAAAAGTTGTGAGAATGTAGTGTATTTAAAGCTATGGATGTTCACCGTATTATCCACCATCAGGTCCACTGAGGAAAATACTCACCTAGCGTGTGTTATTGAACCAGTAGTGCCAATAGTGAATTCCACTGACTCTGGCAACCTTCATCCATTTTGTGAGATTTTTTGTGAAAATAGAAACTGAATATCCTAATTTTCTCTATCACACAGCAATCTGATGGCTCGGCAGGGATAAAGTTTTATTGAGATATTCTGAGAATGAGATTGAAATGTTTTTGAATGGGAAGACCCACCCTCAACCTCTATTATTGAATGACGAAAGGGTTTAGGAATTAGATTTTGCTGCAATGCCTATAAGTGAAGCATATACTTTGGTAGTTGTTTCTTTTTCTTTTTCCTTCCTTTTTTTTAAGGGTGAGGGCAGAGGCAGAGGCAGAGGCAGAGGCAGAGGGAGAGTGAAAATCTTAAGCATGTTCCATGTTCAGCACAGAGCCCAACACAGAGCTTGGTCTTACAACCCTGAGATCATGGCTTAAGCCAAAATCAAGAGTTGGACGCTTAACTGACTGGAGTCACCCAGGTGACCCAAGTCATTTCTTTTTCTTTTCTTTCCTTTTTTTTTTTTTTTTTTTTTTTTAAGTAACCTCTATACCCAACACGGGGCTTGAACTTACAACCCCAAGATCAATAGTCACATGCTTTACCAACTGAGCCAGCCAGGCACCCATATGCCAGAGCCATTTTGAGGACAACTAATGTTTGAATCACAAGAACATCATGCAATTTTATACATTTCCTGTGATGTCAAAAATTAAAACAATAAGTCAGATCTTCATTTCCCACACAAATTTGCAGTGGGTAGATTTTCTGAGCTCAACTCCTTTCCGTAGCATTTTTTAGCACGAGAGGCAAGACATTTCTGTACCTCAAAATCCATTTAACTGTGCAGCTGAGGAGTTCCCACCTAACAGTTCAACTGGAAACGCTAATATACAATGTAATGACATGCTAGAAGGCAAATAATCAAGAGAAGAATCTAACAGAGTTTTACAAATTCCTTCCAAGCAACAAATATGCACAATTAAAATCATATGTTCATGAATTTGGCGGCACTTATATGTGTGAAAAGAATTTTCAAAGATAAAATTTGGAAAACATGCAAAATCTCATTATAGGTCACCATTAACAAATAAAAAGAAAATTTTGATGATAGGGAACTGTAATAAGCTAAATGTTATCTCTCCTCCCACAAAAAATTCTATTTTTTCTCATAAGTAGACTTATATTTCAAAAAATTTTACTAAATTATTATATTTTCAATTTCATAAAGAAAAATTTTGTGAAAATCTATTCTTTCTCATTATATAAGTTCTTAAATAGTACCTTAATTTTGCCTACTGCCCTGAAAAGCCCAAAATACAATATTTACAGAAAATATTTGTCGACCCCTATTTTAGGAGATGACTGCTACTTTTTGAGTTGATTCCTGGGATACTAAACTGGGTTGTGCAATCATTCTTCTAGACATTCAGCAAATATCTGATTATGATATAGAATATTATTATGTGAAATCAAGGTCATGGGAAGCCCTATGAGCAATACAAAAATAAATAAGGTTTTTGTTTTCAAGAAGCTTAAAATTAAGTTAAAAATTATAAAATGTAATAGATAAATAGTTATAATAAAAACAAATATTTTAAAGATTTCCAGATGAGAAGAGAGATACAAAGCAAATACTAGAGGGGTCCTGAATAGGGGAAATTTTCTTTGGTGTTAATCAAAAAGGCATTACTGAGAAAGTAGATTAGAACAAGATCACAAGATAAAGATATTGTTGGGGCACCTAGATGGCTCAGTCAGTTAAGAGGAATGCAAGTTGGTGCAGCCTCTTTGGAGAACAGTGTGGAGATTCCTCAAGAAATTAAAAATAGAACTTCCCTATGACCCTGCAATTGCACTACTGGGTATTTACCCCAAAGATACAGATGGAGTGAAAAGAAGGGCCATCTGTACCCCAATGTTTATAGCAGCAATGGCCACAGTTGCCAAACTGTGGAAAGAACCAAGATGCCCTTCAACGGACGAATGGATAAGGAAGATGTGGTCCATATACACTATGGAGTATTATGCCTCCTTCAGAAAGGATGAATACCCAACTTTTGTAGCAACATGGACGGGACTGGAAGAGATTATGCTGAGTGAAATAAGTCAAGCAGAGACAGTCAATTATCATATGGTTTCACTTATTTGTGGAGCATAACAAATAGCATGGAGGACATGGGGAGTTAGGAGAAGGGAGTTGGGGGAAATTGGAAGGGGAGGTGAACAATGAGAGACTATGGACTCTGAAAAACAATCTGAAGGGTTTGAAGAGGTGGTGGGGTAGGAGGTTGGGGGCACCAGGTGGTGGGTATTAGAGAGGGCATGGATTGCATGGAGCACTGGGTGTGGTACAAAAACAATGAACACTGTTATGCTGAAAATAAATTAAAAAAAAAATGAAAAAAAAAAAAAGAGTCCGATTCTTGATTTCGGCTCAGGTCATGATCTCATGGTTGTGAGATCGGGCCCTGCATTAGAATCCTGTGTCCAGCTCTATGCTGAGCATGGAGCCTACTTGGTATCCTCTTTCCCTCCCCCCACTCACATATGATTTCTCTCAAAAAAATAAAAGATAAAGATATTGTCCTTAAAGATAAAGATATTGCCCTATCACAAATGTGATAGGAGAGGTGATTTGTCAAAAATAGAGTCTCTTAAAAAAAAAATGGGGCGCCTGGGTGGCTCAGTGGGTTAAAGCCTCTGCCTTCAGCTCAGGTCATGATCCTAGGGTCGTGGGATCCAGCCCCACAATGGGCTCTTGGCTCAGCAGGGAGCCTGCTTCCCCCCACCCCCCACCCCCACCTGCCTCTCTGCCTACTTGTGATCTCTATCTGTCAAATAAATAAATAAAATCTTAAAAAAAAAATAGAGTCATTTCTGTAGAAGGCCTGGTTGGGAGAATAAGATCTAAAGATAAAGCTGATTTTGAATATAATACTGAAGTATTATTCCTTTTTTCCCAAAGTTATTTCTTCCAAATTATATCATCACATACTTTTTCATTCTTTTACTTATGGTAAATAATTCAACATAGTTAAAGAATTACCTTTTCCAGGTAGATTTTCTTCATGATCACAAAGCTGACTAAAATAATGAATGAAAATGTATTTTATATTCCTAGGTGCCATGTACTATGCTGGGCACTCACAGGAAGACACCTATAGGATATCTTCAGGATATAGGTTCATATTTCTTTTTTTTTTAATTTTTTAAATTTTTATTCATTTGACAGACAGAGAGAGAGAGATCACAAGTAGGCAGAGAGGCAGGCAGAGAGAGAGGGAAGCAGGCTCACCGCTGAGCAGAGAGCCTAATGCAGGGCTCGATCCCAGGACCCTGAGATCATGACCTGAGCCGAAGGCAGAGGCTTAACCCACTGAGCCACCCAGGTGCCCCTAGGTTCATATTTCTTAACCTGATCTCTAAACATTTTTTTTGTCCCAATCTACATTGACTATTTTTATCTCTTACCATTTCTCTATGTTAGTGGCTCTCAATATACATTAAGGACGAATTATGAGGACAAAATCCTCATTGGGAAAAGGTGAAAGGAAGGGGAGAAATAAAGACAGAAGTACAGTAGGGGAAAGAGCAAGAAGGGGGAAAGGTAGGGAGAGAGAGAGAGACAGAATGAGAGGGAGGAAGCAGGGTTGGGCAGATAGAAAAGAGAAAGAGAGCCGCATTGTGGACTTAAGATTCAGGTGGTATGGTTCTCCCATGTTGCTTGCATCATT